TAAAATATCTGCTCTGCCTATTATCAGTTTTGTTGTACGGGTCAAATGAATTTTATGCAGAATAATCCTATCAGCCCCTAAGCTTCATTTTAAGATGGAAGAAACAAATCATCATCAAAACTGCAACAGCATTTGTCAGTCTTCTCAGCAAACTTGCTGTGTGTACCTGTCCTTGTCCTTTCCCTTTACCTGTTCCATATTGAATTGACCTAATGTCTTAGTGTCACCTCACCTGCTGGGAGAGCTCAGAGCTAAAAAGTCTACTATTCTGGTCAGTTCTTAAATTTGTCACTCGGCACATTAAGCCTGGAGATGATTTGTTTAAGAAAACCTGTGTTTTGAATTGCAAGGAGAGTAAAGAGTGCCGCCTCCTGGACCATGAGAGGCTGGACCAAGAGCTGAACATGGGTCTGCTCTATTTATCATTTTAAGTCACTCAGATAGAGTCAGGAACCAGATTGATTCAAAGGTAATTTCCGATGAACCAACATGCCCCCTTGTGCATTTCTCTTTTCATATAACCTCTTTTCTCCCTGTAAGGATTCAAGATCTAAGATTACCATTAAGACTGGCTGTATTTCATTTCATTCATTCTCTTCGAATCCCCTGCAAATTAGATCATAGCATGTTGCCATTTGAAGAGATCTTAGAGATTAGTTCAGTGTTTTCAAACACATTTTGGACACAGAAACTCTGGGAAAGCTATAGATGTGATCCTCATTTCAGACATCAGTAAACTGAGGCCCAAAAGGTGAAAAGGCAAAGCTGTGATGAGAAGTCGCATCTCCTGATTCCCAAACCATTCCTTGTAACAATTAACATGCTTTCCGCTGTAATCAAAATGGCTTAAACAAGAATGGATGTCTCTCGTGAAAAGTGTTGAGTGACGCTGGAAAAATACAGGGTCCGATCAACACCACGGAAGACCCTGGTTTACTGTTGCCCTCCCTCTTCCCCCTAGCATTCCTGATTTCCAAGATGGCTCCAGCAACATTGGGAATCACAACTTCCACCCAGGATCAAGGGGCATAAAGGAGCTGTCTCTCTCTTCTCTTATGAGCTAAGAAATGTGTCCCAAAAGAGCCCTAAAGGATCTCTTCATATCTTATTAGCCAGGAGGGAATGATATGTCCCATCCTAAGCAGGATACTGTCAAAAAGGGTGAAATTGCCGTATTTGACTTAGACAAATCCAGATTCACGTTCTGGGTCTGGGGGAGGGGCATCCATAGCTGAAGCATAAGATTCTATGTGAGTAGAGAGATTCGTGGACAAAATTAGAAAAGGGAGTTGTGGCTATTTATTGGAGGAACGTTCTCCATGGGTGTCCCTCATTGCTGCTTGTCTTCTGAGCAAGAGGCATTAAAAGCTTTCTTCGTACCTTTCTAAGGATGTGTGGATGGCAAACAGTCTTGGAAGACACAGGTGGATTTGTTTCTCCACCAGGATAATGAAGCTAATGTCTCTCCTGAGGGCAAAAAAAATGAGCTAGTTTGCTAGCAGCCCCTTTAAAAGAATAAGGTTTCTTACATTCAGGTTCTTCAGCTATGACAGGAACTCACTGCATGTACCACATCCCTGTGGGCTGCTCCACATGCCCCCATGCAACTTGGGGAGCAAGAGAGAACAGGGTGGGGCCCGATGTGCATACTGCTTGCTGTGCTGTGAATAATAACATCTTTTGTCTCTGACCCAGGAGACTTCTGTCTTCTGCCAGCACACAGGAAACTATGGGAGACTAAGCTGTTAGTTTATAAATTGGGTAAAATCTCTGACACTTTGCAATTCTTGCCATGAATAGAAAGACAACCGTCAGTGTTTGCTATAGTCTTCTTCCCAGTGAGCTAGGCTGGATACATCCCATTCTCAGATACTTATTTCTGGAAGGAAGAGTACTTCCAGTGTGTAAGAAATTTCTTTTTTACCGGCAGAAACAGGGCAACATTTCAGTCTCCAATGGAGACCCACATTTACTAAGGACAGTGTCATTGGCTCTGGTGTCTTTTATGCTGCCTCCCTTTTATTCGCTCCCTGACTTTCTCTGTAATTATCTCTTTTAAAATGTCAGCTCCTCTCACCCAGAAGAGCAAGAGCAATCAGCCACAAACTGAACTTTAGAAGCTTTTAAAACACACTTGCTGTTTGGCTGGGAGATGGATTCTCAAAGGCATCCCTCAGCAAAGTCAGGGGAGCTGACACTGAATGACTGAGGAAAAGGAACCTGATTCTTTGCTCTGATACTGGACCCACAGCCCCTCCCTCAGGAAGCAAAAGAAGGGATGTGGGCTGTACTAAAATTGTGAATATTTCTACATTAGAGACTGAGTAGAGGCTCCTTAAGGAGGAATCTGCTCTCAGAAGCTGTTGACCTTGAGCACCTCTTACTGCACCCAACTGGTGAGACGACTGAGCTACAGCAGGACTCTGGAGACTTCTTTCCCTTCGGTAGAGTGAAGCACTGATGTTAAGAAGACCATGGTCCAGGGGTGCCTGGGTGGCTCAGTCAGTTAAGCATACAACTTTGGCTCAGGTCATGATCTCGTGGTTTGTGGGTTCAAACCCTGCATCAGGCTCTATGCTGATAGCATGCAACCTGCTTCAAATTCTGTGCTTCCCTCTCTCTGCCTCTAACCCACTGACACTCTATCTGTCTCTCTCTTTCTCAAAAATGAATAAACCTTAAATTATTTTTTTAATTTAAAAAAAAGAAGACCATGGTCCAGAGGAGGAAGAAACAAGGGATCTAGTGTGACAAGTAGAGAAAAAAGTAGAGACATTTCCTAGTTAACTGTTGATACTCAGAGTTTTTCCAAATGGTGACAATTTAAAGACCTGGACAAGAATTCATCATAGCAGGAGGAGAGGAAATTAGAGCAGTGTTTACCCTTCCAAGTCAAACCTTAGAGTTAAACTCAATTTATCCCTCAATTCTATATCCCTGATGGCTGTTGATGCCTTTAAAATGAAACCATCCTTCCTACCTAGCTCAGGAACCCTTGTGTTCTTGCTTCTCTGACAACTTTCATTTAAAAATTCATCTGCTAGGGGCACCTGGGTGGCTCAGTCAGTTGAGCATCTGACTTCGGCTCAGGTCATGATCCCACAGTTTGTGGGCTTGAGCCCCATGTCAGGCTCTGTGCTGACAGCTCAGAGCCTGGAGCCTGCTTTGGATTCTGTGTCTCCTCTCTCTCTCTCTGCCCCCACCCTTTCTCATGCTCTGTCTCTCTCTCTCAAAAATAAATAAACATTAAAAAAATAATAAAAATGCATCTGCTAACCCATAGCACTACAATAACAGAACAGATTCAGTCTTAAAACTGAGGCTACTTCCCCCCCACCCAACTATGCCAGAAATACAGGGAAAGATCATTCAGTCCATAAGTCGTGTGATCATCAACCTGCATTGATATTTCCATAAAAACCTTCATGAAGGTCGCTGGCCTCCACCAAGTTACAGTGACTCCTGGAGGCAAGAGCTCCTAATATAGAGGAGATACTTTACCAGGGTACATGTAGATTTACCACAGGTGTTAAAATTAAAGTCTTCTTGCTAATAACATAAAGGATCAAAATTCCTTGGTACAATTAAGTTGATTAAATTGAGCTCTGCGTCTAATATCCCTGTGGCTTAATAAAGTTAATGCAGCTTTCAGAGGGGCCTGACCCAGAGGCAGGGAACAGTCTAGGTCCTGAGAGAATCTGGCCCACTGTGGTTTTTAAATTAGAAGTTTGATTGCTTGCGACACCATCTCAAAATGGTACCAGTCCGAAGAAGCTGAGTTTTCCATTAGCCCAGGAAAAAATGACAGATATTTAATTAAACTGCTTAGAGATTAGGCAGAAGGCTTAGTGATAGATAAAGGAGCTGAATCTCTTTATAAGTGAAGTTGGGAAATCTACTCGGGTGCCATGTCTTTAATGTAGAAAGGAACTCACCAAGCCAAATGAGCTGGGGACCTTGGCCTTTGCATTAAGCTTCCCCTCCTGCCAATCGCAAGAAAAATATACAATTAAAAAGCATGTTATATAAAGTGTTAGGTGGTCACTGAGGAAATTAAAATCTAAAATGTAAGAAAGCTGCGAACAACCAAAGTTGCCAAAGCAAACCACCCTAATCCATTTGTCTCTTGTTGAGAAGTGATTTATTATGGACCTTGAGCAGAGCTATGAAAAAAGAAATGATATGTGGTCAGTGCTGGAGGGTAGGTTATGAGAAGGATCCGGCACTCCAGATGGGAATGACTAGGTGTACAGCAAATGGTTTGGGAAAGAGGTTGTTCTGCAAGAATCTTGAGCTACCTTTTGGGCAACCACAGTGACCCAAAAAAGATGCAGGTCACCTTTATTGCCACAAGATTCCTACGTCCCTAGCTTTCAACAAGAATTGTGATGCCTACATTAATGAAATACAGTTTTGTAAGCCCTCCCAAAACAGTAGCTCCCAATTCTAGCCATATATTAATATTTTCCAAGGAGCTTTTTAAATTACCAGTGCCTCTGTCAGATCAAATGAACGAGAATCCCTGGGGATGAAGCTGGACATGGGTGTTTCATCAAGCTCTTCAGGAGGGAGTCCCTGCCTTGGGAGCTACGGAAGAGTTACATGGTGTTTAGTAATCCACAGGTATGGGGCTCTGAAACCTGACAAGCCCGGGTCTAGGTCCTGGCTATACTACTCACTAAACTAAAAACATTCAGCTCATGCTTGATCTTCTCCAGGTCTGGGTTTGCTTATCTGGAAAGAGTCGATGACAGTAACTTCTTGACAAGCTTTAAAGATGGAGTAAGAAAATAAATGTAATCCTCCAAGTATATTTCCCTCCCATTGGAGGAAACATGGTTCATTAAAAGTGGATTGATGTTTTATCCTTTCCTCAAATGATTTTGCCATAAGCTTTTATAGCAAGTGATGACGGGCTTTGTTTTTCCTCTAGAAATCATTGCTATCTGGTATCTGGAAGGAAAACACTCATGTGCCTTTCATGCTTTCTGCTCCCCCAGCTGCCACAGAAGTGTCCTTTTCGTTTGATGTCGGAAACGGGCCAGTGGAGATTGTGGTGAGGTCACCCTCCCCTCTCAATGATGACCAGTGGCACCGGGTCACCGCAGAGAGGAATGTCAAGCAGGCCAGCTTACAGGTGGATCGGCTGCCACAGCAGATCCGCAAGGCGCCCACTGAAGGTCACACCCGCCTGGAACTCTACAGCCAGCTGTTTGTTGGTGAGTAATAGAAAGGCCTTTGTGACTTCCCTGTTGGTTTTAATAAGCTTCACAATGGAAAAAATAAAACTGTCTATGGGATGCTTTGATAGAAACCTTCCCAAAAGGAAGAGTCTAGGCTTCTTGTAGTCTCTATCAAGACAGAATGGAACAAGGAAAATGAATCATGAGACCTAACTCTGGCTCACTCTCCACTCTCCACAGCTCATGGTCCTCATCTACAAAATCAGAGGGGTAGGCTAGGGTACCTCTGAGGTCTAATCTGTGCAGTGTTAGGTCTACAGCTTTAGAACTGTAGAAAATACTTTGATAATGTAGGACACTTGTAACTGTGAGGGAGGAAGGGAGGGAAAGATGGAGGGAGGGAGAATGAGGAGGAAATGAGCTTCCTAAGTTCAGGTTTTCTTGAAATGATAAGTAGAAGCCCATTCCTTTCTCTGCCCATCCTCAAGGTTCTAGGCAGAGAAAGATGTGAATTTCCCCTTATGTGGTATCTTTACATGAGACAGAGATCAACAGTGAGAAATTTAGACAGAGCAGAAGTTGAGCATCCTTTGTAAGAAGTTATTCCAGCCTCACAGTGTCGTCTTTACTTTTGACCTATTGCAGCTGAAGCTCGNTAAATTACCAGTGCCTCTGTCAGATCAAATGAACGAGAATCCCTGGGGATGAAGCTGGACATGGGTGTTTCATCAAGCTCTTCAGGAGGGAGTCCCTGCCTTGGGAGCTACGGAAGAGTTACATGGTGTTTAGTAATCCACAGATATGGGGCTCTGAAACCTGACAAGCCCGGGTCTAGGTCCTGGCTATACTACTCACTAAACTAAAAACATTCAGCTCATGCTTGATCTTCTCCAGGTCTGGGTTTGCTTATCTGGAAAGAGTCGATGACAGTAACTTCTTGACAAGCTTTAAAGATGGAGTAAGAAAATAAATGTAATCCTCCAAGTATATTTCCCTCCCATTGGAGGAAACATGGTTCATTAAAAGTGGATTGATGTTTTATCCTTTCCTCAAATGATTTTGCCATAAGCTTTTATAGCAAGTGATGACGGGCTTTGTTTTTCCTCTAGAAATCATTGCTATCTGGTATCTGGAAGGAAAACACTCATGTGCCTTTCATGCTTTCTGCTCCCCCAGCTGCCACAGAAGTGTCCTTTTCGTTTGATGTCGGAAACGGGCCAGTGGAGATTGTGGTGAGGTCACCCTCCCCTCTCAATGATGACCAGTGGCACCGGGTCACCGCAGAGAGGAATGTCAAGCAGGCCAGCTTACAGGTGGATCGGCTGCCACAGCAGATCCGCAAGGCGCCCACTGAAGGTCACACCCGCCTGGAACTCTACAGCCAGCTGTTTGTTGGTGAGTAATAGAAAGGCCTTTGTGACTTCCCTGTTGGTTTTAATAAGCTTCACAATGGAAAAAATAAAACTGTCTATGGGATGCTTTGATAGAAACCTTCCCAAAAGGAAGAGTCTAGGCTTCTTGTAGTCTCTATCAAGACAGAATGGAACAAGGAAAATGAATCATGAGACCTAACTCTGGCTCACTCTCCACTCTCCACAGCTCATGGTCCTCATCTACAAAATCAGAGGGGTAGGCTAGGGTACCTCTGAGGTCTAATCTGTGCAGTGTTAGGTCTACAGCTTTAGAACTGTAGAAAATACTTTGATAATGTAGGACACTTGTAACTGTGAGGGAGGAAGGGAGGGAAAGATGGAGGGAGGGAGAATGAGGAGGAAATGAGCTTCCTAAGTTCAGGTTTTCTTGAAATGATAAGTAGAAGCCCATTCCTTTCTCTGCCCATCCTCAAGGTTCTAGGCAGAGAAAGATGTGAATTTCCCCTTATGTGGTATCTTTACATGAGACAGAGATCAACAGTGAGAAATTTAGACAGAGCAGAAGTTGAGCATCCTTTGTAAGAAGTTATTCCAGCCTCACAGTGTCGTCTTTACTTTTGACCTATTGCAGCTGAAGCTCATGTTATTTCAAATCAATGCCTGTTTCTATCACTAAATATTAAATTTTCTTTTCCAGAACACTATTGTTTTAAGAAATTAGCTGTTTTTCCTCTGTTAAATGATAAGAGAGCAAATTTGAAGGACTTTCTGGCTATGTGCCACCTTAGACTCCCCTCTCTGAGTTTATGGGGGTTAATTGATCAAGTCAGTCAACTGTGGCAATCCCAGACCAAGCAAAAACAGATGTGACCCGGGTGCTGTCCACAGGCCTACCACCTGTCACCCTACCCTACGGCCTCACCAAGGGTCAGCTAATTTTAACAAGGGCCAGAGCCCCACAGTGTCTTTCATAATTGTGCTGAAATGCTTTAAGAACATTGGAAAGTCACAAAAAGAAGGTAATATTAGATGTCACCTCCTTTGGTGCAATGTGGGCAGACTACAGACATGTCAACGTAGTCTGTTAGCTCTCAAAGTAAGACTGATTTGTTAACAAGCCATGTCATCAGGGGCCATGAAAGGGTCATAGATATCAAGATAAAACACTCCTTGATCCCAGTTGGAAGCTAACCCCTTACAAACCCTACCTTCAATTTACAATTCTCAAAATTGCACATTACTTTAAAATTATTTTTTATTAATTAAATACCAGGTCCACTGATTCCTGCTGAATATTGTGAGCACAGTCCACTTTATCCATACGTCTTGCCCAGATTACCTAGGACAAGTTTTGTTTTCCTCAATCCTGTCCCCCACTAAGCATGCTGGTTAACTTCTTTCTACCTGGTTTTCTTTATAACAAGTGGCCTTCACTAACTGAGTTGCTTCTTTTTCTGACCTTTCCTTTTTATGCCTTTCTTTCCATGGACTATAGTTGTCTCTGAAAATTTTGGAGACAAAGTAGAGTTGTAAGTGTAAAGAGAGTAGAGCATTTATTATGGTCCTTGGAAAGGATGCTCAACTTTTGCTCTGTCTAAATTTCTCAGAATTTTGATTTGTTGAAACAAGAACAGCTTATAAGAAGAGAACAGTAGAGGGCTGAGGTCAGAATTTGACAGACCAGTTTAAGAGACAGGCAGAAACATAGCACCTCAGGAAGAAGACTGAAGGGGTATGGAGGAGGGAACAAGCAAGGAAAAACCAGGAGAGGGATGTCACAGGAAGAGACAGTCTCATGGAGTACTCTGTGTTTGTTATTGACACATAACATCCAGTACCATGAGGAAAATAAGGCTAGAAAAACGTTCTTTGAATTTAGTAATTTTAAAACCACCGGTGACCTGGGAAAGAAGCTTCAGAACAGTGGGCCACCGTGATGAGTCAGCAGTTGCTTTTCACTCGATGGAAATGAGGAGGTCCACATCCTCATTCCTAATTTCCTGTCATCTCAGAGGCGGGCATGATGCACATCTCCCAGACACAATCTATTTTGCACCAGTATGAAAAATATTGTTCTGCAATAGACATACTCCCCAGGGGAGGTGGGGAGGGGGGCTAGTTTCCAGAGAGAAAATCAGTTCAACAGCTGTGAAATCCTGAAGCCTGTTATCCCAAGCCTATTCAGTAGGGATTCAGGAACCCGGAGAGCTATCCTGAGTTCAGTTCTCATTTAGGCACTCTGTCCTGACCACAGGTCACCACTTTCCCTCTTGAGTCTCCTTTTTCATCTGTCTAATAAAGGACTTGGATTCATTGGTCTCCAGAATGTCCTTCAACTTTAACCATTTGTGATTATGTGTTTAGAGATGTTAAAGCAGCGTCACTTGCAAAGAGGTTATCCTTCACATAGTGTCATGCAGTTAACATAGGCTTTGAATCCCACCTCTGCCACTTAGCAGCTGAGGGACCACTGGAAGGTTACTCAGTATTTCCATGTTAAAAGAGGTACGGGGGTGCCTGGGTGGCTCCGTCAGTTAAATGCCCAACTCTTGGTTTTGGCGCAGGTCATGATCTCACAGTTTGTGGGCTCACGCCCCACATTGGGCTCCGTGCTGATGATGAGGAGTCTACTTGGGATTCTCTTTCTCTCTATCTCTCTTTTCCCCTCCCCTGCTCACTTTGTCTTTCTATCAAAATAATTAAATAAAAACACGATTTAAAAAAAAAAAAAGAGGGATATAGTCCTTATGTCTCAGGGTGGACTGAAACAGCCCAGAATAAGCACTCTTTGTAGAGTGACTGGCATGAAGTCAGACTCATTAAATATGAGTTATTTCTTTATCTTTGTTTTCACTTTTACTCCTTTAGCTGTCTTCCTCTGTGTATCCATGTAATGCTCACTCCCTCCTACAGAACTTGCCTCCAACTGACCCATTTCTTCTTTCCTAAAGTAGTGACCTGATCCGTGTTCACTGTAACATACATGCCCTAAAGGAAAGTTCCTGTACATACATGCTCCTTGACATTCAAAATCAGGCTGCAGTTACTCTGCTTACCTGCCTCAGTGGCCACACAGCAGCACGCCATGACCCAGGAATGTTCTCAGTCAGCCAAGAAGCCAGGGAGCATCCATGTGAACACATCACATGGGTATTGGCGTCACAACTGAGACATGTGGCCAAGTTGCCCAACATCTCTTTCCCGTTCTAGAAAAGAGGGACTTGACTCAACCTAAAGCTAACACAGACTGGAAGTCATTCTTGTTCTTTGCAGAGAGCAGGCCGTAAGGGAAGGCCAACCTCCTGTCTCCTTTCCCAAAGCAACTGAAGAAACGGAGAGAAGAGCAGTCCCCCTCACTCCACATCTAAAATATAATTAAAAGCTGTCATCAAAAGAAGATTAATACAAGTCTTTAGGCACAAATTCTCATTATTTTGAGAATTATTATTGCAGCTATGATTCTGCTTTAGTCAAAAAGTAACAAATAAATTTAAACATGAAAAGTGACGTGGGAAGAAAGAGGCATTGGTGGGTATTTGTCCGAAATGCACAGGAAACCTTCTCATGTTGTTGATCCAGCATGAACAATGACCGTATGATGAGCCACTTGGATGGCCCAGCAGAGACACTTAAACCACACGGTGATCTGCAGCCTCAACCAGC